GAGGAGCCAGCACCCCGGCTGCCTGTGCCATGAGGGGAGACCCAGCACCCCTGAGGGGAACTGGGACCCCTGAGGGGAACCGGCACCCTGGCTGCCTGTGCCATGAGGGGAGACCCAGCACCCCTGAGGAGAACTGGGACCCCTGAAGGGATCAAGCACCCCTGAGGGGAACTGGCTCCTCTGAGAGGAGCCAAGACCCTGACTGCCTACGCCATGAGGGGAACCGGGACCCCTGAGGAGAACCCAGCACCCTCTCTGCCTATGCCCCAAAGGGACCTGGCACCCCTGCAGGGATCAAGCAACGCTGAGGGAAACTGGCACCCCAACTGCCTGTGCCCTTGAGGGCACCCAGCAGCCATGAGGGGACCTGGTACCCCTGAGGGGAGCTGGCGCCCCCGAAAGGAACCAGCATCCCCATCTGCCTGCACCCTGAGGAGTTGCGGCACCTCTGAGGAGAAGCAGCTCCTCCAAGGGGAACCAGCACCCTGGCTGCCTGCAGCCTGAGGGGAACTGGTTCTTCTGAGGGGACCTGGATCCTCAGAGGGGAACTGGCAACCCTGAGAGGACCAGGCACCCTTGAGGGGATCCAGCACCCCATCCCACATCCACCTACTCTCCCCAGCGACATACACGGGTCAGGGACAGCCTTGTCTCCTCTCGCCCACCCTGTCTTCCTTCACCCCCACCCCGGTGATGCCCTCCTGGGGGGAGACACCAGCGCCTGCCTCACGCGGTGGGGAGACGGCTGCCTGCTTCCAGCGTAGGCCGTCTCCGAGTTGCGTTTAATTAAGGCTCCGCTTCGGTTTAATTAAGGCCACGGTTTCACGTATGGGATGCATGAGGCAGTGCTGATGACTCAAAGCATTGCTCCAGCCCTGAGTCTTGTATAAAACCCCAAATCCCTGCCTGAACCCACCGCTGGCACCCTGCCCCGTGCACGGGATGGGGCAGGCCCCCCCCAGCACCCGGCAGTGAGCTCTGCACCTCCTTGCCCGTACCCAGCTGGTCTCCCTCCAGGTCAGTCCCGCACTGGCATGGCCTGGATTTGGCCATGCGT